GGCTTTTGGTGTTAAGATGGAAAATTTGAACAGAGCACTGGACATGGAGGGATATATTTGGTTTAATGATTAGAAGCATTTGTGTGGTTCTCCATAAAATGGTGCCAACTTTGAGTCCTCTAGAAACTCCCACTGGGCATTTGTGCACCAAATCTATTATTTAACTATGTCACACATAATGGAAGGCATCAAGTCAGCCTGAAGTACATCTTACTGATGTGGATTCTTTGGGTTTTTGAGCTCCTAAAAGTTCTTGCGCATAGAAGGCTTCCTCTAATAATCTTTCATAGCTGATGCTGATGGGAACGAGGTAAGTATCAAATACTTCTCCTTTTAAGAATGGCTCCATTACAACATTCAAAAACCCTGCAACACAAACACAACCTATTACAAATTTTCTTCACTGCATTTTCTTACATTTATTTTATGTTTGATTTGTTTTGCATTGGTATTCTTTAAACAAGCAGGGCAATGAGTCAACAAAGTCCTTTTCCATTGTCTTAAGCTGACTTATGAAGACATTTTATATTTTTTCAGATGATACATACCATAATTGTTCTTTCTCATTGCAATTTAGTTTTAAGGCCTCGGCAAGGGCAGCAAACTATTACCAATGAGATGAGTAAGCTCCTTAACACACATTAGCAAGGTCTTTTAATAAAGACTCTGTAGGTAAAATTATGTTTTTCTACAGGTATTGAGGTAAAATATAACTGTTTTCCATTAACATTTTTTGGGTTTAGCATTGAGGACACTGGGCTTTATTCCATTTAGAATATTAGCATTTCCAAAGAACCAGCTGTAAAGTCAACAATGAACAAGGGAAAAAGAAAAAAGCTTGAAGGCCTGCAAACCACAAGAGTAGCACCAGCAGCTAGTGTTGGCATGAATGGAATTGCATCTTTTGAGTATGTGGGCTTCCATTGTTGCCCCTGTTCTGATAAAGCAAATTGCTTGCTGTCTCTGGTTTCAATAACATCAAGCATCCTATAAATGGGTTCAGAAAAGGATAGGAATTCCTTATTCTTATACTTGTTCCATGTCAGTGTTAAACAGCTGTGGCATGCATTTATCTACTTCCCTGCATGAGTCTCTACAATTACATCACAAGGCAGGTTTTTTTTGTGAGAATTCCCCAGCATAGCATAAGCATCTCTGTACTGCAGCTAGTTGAGCCTTCTTTTCTGGCTTTCTGGCAAGATGATTAAGGGGAGGAAATAATAGTTAATAATAATTTTTGGATGGAGACCACATCCAAGTTATCATACAGTAAATAAAACTCATGATTAACCTGTTTAAGGCTAGGTTCACACTGGCCCACATGCTACCGCCATTCACCACAAGGAAATTGCATGTAGCTTCCGTGCAGATGTATTTTGGAAAAGGTGCATTCACCTTTTCCTTATGTGAAATGCAGGCAAACCACTAGTGTGAACCGGGCCTTCAGCCTAATGCCAGCCAAAATGTTGCAGTTTTGGATAAAGAGAGAGGGTTAAAACATCTGCCTATCAGGTTTTTATTTCTGTATGTGACCCCATTTGGGAGATTTTCCTTACTTCCTCTCTGTGACCCAAAAAATTGAGTTTCTATATGTCATCAGGACAGGAAGAAATAATCAGAAATGAAAACATTTTGGCTGATTTACTAAAGACAGATAGGCTGTTCACTTTGCCAAGAAGTGTTCACTTTGCAAGGGATTTTCCCCAGAACTTAGCAAATTTGGTGAAATTTCACATTGCAAAAAAAAAATACCCATTCATATGCAATAAAAACAAAAAAAAGAGCATTTTTACTTGCACATGATTGGCACTTCACCTTATTCATTATACTCTGTGGAAAATACCCTTGAAAAGTCCAACTTCCCTTGCAAAGTGAACAATCAATTTGCTAATTAACCCCAATGTCACCAGTTCTAGCGTTTCCCACTGCATTAAAAAAAAGAAAAAAATTGCCTGGGTTTTTCTCTCATTTATGACAGAAAAGGGATGGGAAAAAATCCCCAACAGGGACACAGATGGTAATTAAAAGCTTATAGATACGCTAACCCTACCTCACTCTATCCAAAACTAAATTTAGAAAGTTAAGAGAACTTAAAAATTAATTATTTTTTTACACCTGTGGCAAACTAAGGTTAGAAAGCTAAATGATATGTAGGTGATGTAAACGTATTAGCAATAATTAATGGAAGTAAAGGATTATATTTCTAAACTTCATTTAGTAAGAATTTGATGTAACACAGAATTTGCAGTAAATTCCATTTGTGTTCATCCTAGCCTCTTTTACTGTTTCTTTTTATAGTCAATATAAATCATTGGGTTGTATCTAATTCCTGACAAAAAGTAATTTGTAAAGGTTCAATTTTATATTTTATACTTTAGCATAGAGAAATATGCCAAGAATTAAAAAAAGAATAAAATATTGTGTTCGCTTATGAAATATGCAATCAGTTATTTTATAGTGGAACTTCTACTGTACAAGGTGGTGTCAATCTATACATACCAAGCCTTGGATGTATAGTCTTTCCTGTCCTGCTTCTTTGACCTTCAATAAAAAACTCCAGAGGAGCATATCCAATCTGTAAAAAAAAGCCTTCAGTTATGATAAATTTCATACAAAAGCAGATGTTTTGATTGATTGCTGTTTTGCTCGTGTGAAAGCATGTACGGTATCTTTATATACAGGAAACAGATTAGCACCAAAGGTGAATCACTGATGTCACAGTATATGTAAGTGCCAAACAGGGGTGGACTGACAACTCATGGGGCCCCCGGGCAATAGGGGATCATGGGGCCCCTGTGTCCTTGCCCAAACTCCAAAAAGCCTATGAAAAATGTACCAGGGGCATCTCATGGGGCCCCCTACTGACCCCGGGCCCTCGGGCAGTGCCCGAGTTTCCAAATGGTCAGTCCACCCCTGGTGCCAAATGACTACTAACTACTACAAATACTATTACAGGGATCAACGTTGCATCAGAAGCAATAAAATTAAGGAAAATGAATGAAACTATGAAAACATAGTAAAAAACAGGACTATTGTAGATGAATTACTGCATTAGATAATACTCCAGCGTAATGCTGACAAATATTTGAAGTCAATGAATTCTGAAAGGTGGTTTAAATAAACATATTTTTATTAAATATTTTACAAAAAATAATGGGATAAAAAATCCAATGTATTTGTTTTGGTTGCTATGAACGTCACTCAATTACTGTTTTTATTTAGCATTGGTTTATTCATAAGTCACCTACTCATATTTTTCTCTTGGTAAAACATTTCAGTTTTTCCCACTATAATATGAAACCAAAACAAAGATTATTTCTGAATTGTTCCTAGTTACTGTACTGCTCTGCAAACTTAAAGCAAAACTCAAGGTGAATATATAAATGGGGTTTTATCCTAGTAAATGTATATTTTTTTAAAAAGTAATTAACTATACATTAACGTTTTTTTCTAGTACCAAAAACTCAAGGGCCCAGAGCAATAACTGGAGTAGTATTTTGCCAAGTACTACTAAAACCTTTCTTCCTTGGAGTACAACTCACCATAAGATTCAGTGGAGACTGTACAGCACATGAGCGAGCCCAGCCAGCAGTATTTTTACAAGTGGTTGTACAGCACCAAGGAGCAAGACAGCCAATGGAGTTAATTTACTAAAACTGGAGAGTGCAAAATATGCCAATTATAATATTAGCCAATCAGCTTCTAACTTCAGCTTGTTTAGTTAAGCTTTGACAAAAAAAAAACTGGAAGCTGATTAGTTTCTTAGCAGAGCTGCATCAGACTTTGCATTTTCCAGTTTAAAGAAGAAATCCGGGCAAAATTATTATTTTCCCATGCAGTGGGGCTGTCCTTGCACTGCATGGGTTAAATGCTCCTTTTTTGTCTAGGGGCTCAGAAAGCAAAGATATACTTACCTGATCCTCTGAGCGCCAATCCCCGCCTCTCCTGCCCCCCACATGCTAGAGGTCTTATGAGTGTGCTGACATCATCACACTCGCAGACAGGCTCTGGATATGAGGACAGCAGAAACAGTCCACCCCTGGATGTGGGGGAGCACGGTTCTCTGGAGGATTGGAGGAATGGGTAAGTACAATGTTTGCATGAGCCCCTAGATAAAATGAGCACTTAACCCATACAGTGTGGGCACAGCCCCACTGCTTGGGAAAATAACATTTTTAACCGGAGTTCTGCTTTAAGTAAATCAGCCCCACAACCTCATTGGATTGGGGACAGGAAAGTTTAGAACTAGGAGAGGGCTGGGACTGTGGTGCCCTACAGGGTATGTGTAACTGCACCGAGGGCCCACTTTAAGCCATTGTCTAGGAAAAGGGAGATGGACATGCTGGGTGACAGGTTTTGGAAGTTGTTTAACTAGGATATTGAAACTGATGGATCAACAAAAAATTATACATAATGCTCACCTTTTGTTCCTATGCAGATTCATATTTTAAAGGAGTTCAACTTCAACTATATGAATTTCAAACTTTGGAAACAATTATTATGAATTTATGAGTGAACTGACCCGTATCATAGTCTTCACATATTCTGAGAACACTGCCCAATACAGTTTGTTCCCCTGAAATGTACGTCTTATAAAAAAGGCACCGGATGAGCGAAGAAGATGTCCAATAAGTGTCATTCGACTGAGATCTAAAGGAAGTAGAAAAACATGAACGAATTTAAAAGACAGTCCAAGCTCTTTACTGGAGCAGCAGATTTGTTCCTCTATAACCAGTTCTACGCCATACAAAGCAGTGTGTTTACAGTGAAGTACACACACAGCCCCCATAGTGAAACAGCACACAGTTAACCCTTTGATTGCCACTGACGTTAACCCCTTCAAGCCCAGTGCCATTAGCACAGTGTCAGTGCTTTTTATTAGCACTGACACTGTATTGGTGTCACTGGGGATGTAAGCGACACCAAGTCAGTTCCCTCCAGTTTCAGAATGCCTGCTGCAGTCCCGCTATAAGTCAGTCGCTGATCGCCACCATTACTAGTTAAAAAAAAAAATTCCAGTGTATATATACCGTCATTTGTAAACGCCATAACTTTCACGTAAATCAATTAATTTACACGTATTGGGATTTGTTTTAGCAAAGACATGAAGCAGAATATATTTTAGCCTAAACTTATGAAGAAATGTGATTTTTAAAAATTTTTTACAGGACATGTTTAATATCAAAAAGTCAAAAATATTGTTTGTTTCTCAAAATTGTCAGTCTTTTTTATTTATAGCGCATGACGTAAATTTCGTGGCATGACCACGCAATTGTCAGTTAGGCGCAGAGCCGTATCCCAAAAAAGTGACCTGGTCAGGAAAGGATAAAGTATTACATTTTTAAATATATTTCACAGTACAAGGTAAATAAACAATTTAACAGACCTCCAAAAGTTTTGCACTAACAAGCATGAATAATGACTTTGTGGCTTTAATAATGCTGACTAGCTGTTATGCGCAATATGCACATATTTCTCCATACAGATAACCTTTTTTATATTATAAGTGTCCATTATCACTGATACTCTGCTGATGACTAGATGCCTTTAACCACTTGCCCTCCTGAGGATTTACCCCCCTTAATGACCAGGCCTCTTTTTGTTACTCGGTGCTGCACTAATTCAACTGATAATTGCGCGGTCATGCAATGCTGCTTCCAAACAAAATTTACGTCCTTTTTTTCACACAAACAGAGCTTTCTTTCGGTGGTATTTGATCACCTGCGCGCTTTTTATTTTTCCCGCTATAAACAAAAAAAGGCCCAAAATTTTGAAGAAAAACAATATTTTTTATTTAAGCTATAAAAAATATATAGTAAACTCAAAGTTAGTTATAAATTTTTGGTTTTTGGTAAAAAAAAATCCCAATAAGTGTATATTGATTGCTTTGTGTGGAAGTTATAGCGTCTACAAACTATGGTATAGATACTGTAATTTATGCCATTTTTTTTTTGCTATACAGCACTGCGCTAGTTTAACGGACAATTGCGCGGTCCTGCAATACTGTACATAAATTAAATTTACATCCTTTTTTTTCCACAAATTGAGCTTTCTTTCGGTGGTATTTGATCGCCTGTGCGTTTTTTATTTTTTTGCGCTATAAAAAAAAAGGCTGACAATTTTGAGGAAAAAAAACAATATTTTGGACGTTTTGCTATAAAACATGTCCAGTAAAAAAAAATGTAAAAATCAAATTTAGTCATACATTTCTGCCAAAATTCATTCTGCGACATGTCTTTTCTACAAAAAACCCTAATATGTGTAAATTAATTGGTTTACGTGAAAGTTATAGTGTTTACAAATGGCGGGAAAAATACTGGGATTTTTAATTTTTTTTTATACTAATAATGGCGGCGATCAGCGAATTATGGTGGCGATCAGCGACTTATGGCGGGACTGCGGCGGACATTCTGACACTGGGGGGGAACTGACTTGGGGTCACTGACATCCCCAGTGACACCAATACAGTGATCAGTGCAAAAAAAAAACACTGACACTGCACTAATGGCACTGGGGAGGAAGGGGTTAACTTTATTATTCAGTGAAAGGGTTAACTGTTTGAGGGGAGTGTTTTACTAGGGGACCGGGGGTGTGTACTGCAGGGAACACCGCTGATCGGGAGAGATAAACTCTTCTCTCCCGATCAGCCTGTCAGGAGCTGTCAGGGAACTGACAGAAAGCACAGCTACTACAGCTGTGCTCTCTGTCACTGATTGCCGCTAATCTACCGGCTGTGACCCAGCAACTGACATCCGCAGCCGTGATCGGTGGGACAGGTAGGGCGGCGGCGCGCCTCGTCTGCGCCCCCTACCTGTTTTGAAAACACACGTTTTAAAACGTGGTTTTGCCCAGCCGTGCCGCCCTGCCGCCGTATTTATACAGTGGCTGGGCGGCATGTGGTTAAAACACTTCAGTACTTCAAGGTTCATCCAGTTTTCAGTTTCAAGTTAGGAGTTTTAACCCTGGGTCACCAAGGAGATTCTTGTGGGCAGACATGGTATCAAATATGTCCATTGGTCAGTGAGATTTTTTCTTCTGGTGGGCATTGTTTATCATGCCTGATGTGGATTACATCACTGGGCGACATCATTGACAATGGATGTATACCGTGGGACATTTTTTCTTTGTAATAAGGGTCAAAATCTGTGTAACTGTCTTTATTTAGTGTTTATTTTTTTGTGTGAACGAGTGGGGGGTACTATGTACCCCTTACTCATTCACATGGGGGGGTCCTATTTGGGGATCTTTATTTTTAAAGGGGGCTTTTAGATTATGATAAGTCCCTTTACCTGCAGACCCCCCACAACCACCAGGCCAGGATTGTGGGGAAGAGGCCCTTATCCTTATGCTTTTTTTTTTGTGTGATGGTCTCCAATTAACATCTATATCAGACCCTCACCAAGGAACTTTGTTTATAAACAGAAGTAATTGACTGTAACAACTAGTCCTCATCCGGGACCGCTTAACTGCAAGATTCTGGGACCTCTTGCTCAGGAATACTCTCAATACAGCTGGTTGGAGAGGAAGATTCATAAGGGGTCTGAGGAGGTATACCAAAGAAGGACAGTGCTATATTTTTGCTAGTCCACATTTTTGTACATAGTTGCTAAGAAGTTCGTCCTCAAGTTCTACAGTTCCTTGGGCATCCCATTTACCCCTAGACCCTATCCATGTTGTTAACCCCTTAATAAAAACTACTAAAAACCAGCTCAAGGACTGTTTACTGACTTTGAGGGTAGAAGTGTGGAAAATGCGTGTGGCCTGGCTGTGCAGAGCATAAGGGGACCCAAACCAAATCCAGTGGGCCTTAAGAGGGTAGTTCTTCAATAAAATGTTGAACAAGGTGAAATATCACTAAATAAGAATGAAAAAACCATGAGTGATAAAAATTAAAAGCAATTACCTTCTCCTGCAGCAATCACAGGAATAGCGAGGTCATAGGTGTACATAACATATGATATCAACAAAAAGTCAATATAGCTCCGATGGCTGGGCATCAAAACAACAGGATATTCTTGAACTGCCTTTGCCAGCTGCAGAAATAAAATAAATTATCTTAAAGGATATGGGCAAGTGTTATAAAAAAGCCCAGCTAAACCTGAGAACAGAGGAAGAAATTTTCAATTTATTTACTTTAGGTTCTCCTCGACTAACAACAACAACCACAGGAATGCTCTAAAGCTAGGACTACATTGGCAGTTTAATCTCTTGCCACTAAGTGGTTTAAGTACTTGTTGACAATCATCTCATTAGCAGCACATTGAATTTAGTGGGGCAGATAAGGAGACTGCTAACAGCTGTTTAAAACTAACATACAGTATATTTTACTGAACAGACTGTGGTATCACATGGCCATGCCTCTACAGTACATACATTAGCTTAGATGTCTTCTTCAGCATTTTATGATTCAAATTTGGACACTTCCTCAAAGTGTACAAAGCTAATCCCACTCATGCTTCCTGCATCTTCATATTGCTATGCACATCATACAGGTGTTGGACAAAAAAATGGAAAAACCACATATATTGCAGGTGTGAAAGTGACAACATGTTTCACATTGAAAGCGGAAGTGATGTAACACTCTTTTGCTTTCTCTGTGTGATGAGACACCTAGCTAACAGTCAGGAAGCCTCACTTTCATAATTCACTGCTTGAGCTACTAGTAATACATAGTCATGTCAGAGCTTACTGAGCTTCAAAGAGGGCAAATTGTTGGTGCCTGCTTAGCTGGTGCCTCTGTGACTGAAGTTGCCAATGTATTTGCCGTGTTGTGAGGTACAGTATCAAAGGTTATGCTGGCATATACAGTTTTTTCTGGGAAAACGTCATCTGATAAGTGTGGTCAACATGGTCAACTGACCAAAAGAAACAAAAGGACATTGTGCAGGATTGTGACCCGGAATAAGAAAACAACTGCTACAAAAAAGATTGCAGAGCTCAATCTCAGTCTTCTTAGACCTTACCAGTCTTAAAAATGCTCCCTCCTGCCTCCTAACACCTATGCTCACCACCAACTTTTATAAGAAAAATGTAAATACTGCTGAAAAGGTGATTCACTTGTAGTTTTCTGATGAGGAAAGTTGTAGGGTCTGCATCTTTTAAAAAGTAATTTACCCTTTGGAAGTATCTCGCCAAAAAGTACATTTTTGTTGCAGAGGATGCCTAAAATCTGACTTGTATCTTAGTGCAGACTTTTGAGAAAATCAGTGAGTCAATCACACAAGCAGGAAATTACAGTTCTGTATACCAACTCTGCACAGAAGGCCTCCAGATTGCCTACTGCATTAAATGTTTCAGAAAACTACAGCACTGCAGATTGAAAAGGAAAGGTAATTTTTTTTTAATAAGGCTTGTGTAGCAATTGTATATGCTAAATTGTTTATTTGCAATTATTTTTCCCCACAAAAGTGGAGTTACCCTTTAACATTGATAGTTCGAAAACAAATAGTCAGAAATGGGAAATTGGTCCATATAGTAAATGGCCCCATGTGGTCAATAGCGCTACATTTATTTCCAAGCCGATGTGGACAAGTATAAAGTAAAATATTTAGATGCTAAATATATGTACTCCAAAATTTAAACTAGAAGGAACCAAATTAGCTGAATGGAAAAGGATTTGGATTGACTTGTAGATTTCATATTTAATGTTAGCATGCATAGCCAAGCTTGTAATTTTATTTATTTCATTTAAAAAAAATATAAAGAAGGCTATACCTTTACATATTAGCACTAGTAGTACTTGAATGCTACATTAACATTTTAGACTGACTTTTGATAACACTTACCTTCTGAATGCCCTCCACATTGCAAAATATTTTCCCATAAAGCTGTTTAAAGATCTTGCTTAAACTGAGAGCAAATATCCGAATTGCACCCAATTTTAAACTGTGACCCATTTCATCCAATATCTCACGAGCCTGTTCCTGAATCATTTCAAAGGGTTCTCCAGTTTCCAAGCTGATCTTTAAATTGAAGACAAGAACAGGTCACAAAAAATGACAGAGAATAACATTAAACCCCTTGCAAATTCTTGTCAAATGTGGTCATATTCATAAAACTCAAACAAACCTATATATGAAAGCCATGCTGAAT